ACGTGAACCGAGTCTTAAGTTCTGCATTCGAATGAAAGAGGGGTCAAAGGTTAGGACGGGTCCGGAAACTTTTGACTTCCTGACAGTAGACTCTTTTATGATGCCAGAATGTCTTCTTCAGAAGTCAGTTTATAATATGTCGACGAGAACTATGAGAAGGATATGATGGCGATGTCGTTCAAATAATTACTTGGCTGTCCCCAAAAAGCAATAACATTTTTGTTAGAGAGTTTTTAAGTTTACACCAAAATAAAGATAGGTTTTTTGGTATGGTTCAAGGTAAAAAAAAAAATTATGGTTGCCATAACACGGTGAATACAATTATTCTCTTTACATTAATAATTTTATGTATATAGACAACCAACTACGGGGCTCAATATTAACTATATTAACTCGGTTTCCCCATTCGTTAAAAAGAAAGTTAGGAATTTAAATATACATAATGATTAGAATTAAGCAATAAGAGCTCACTAGTGAGTGCTGATGTGGCACCATGCGTTAAGGCGGCACAGATGAATTTTGTTACTGTATTCTCCAACTCAAATTATTCATGAACTCATTTTACCAAGACTTTGTGTATTAAATAACATTAACCGTATGCATGTCTAATCAGCCTCCTAATCAACTCATAGAAAGTATAACATTTTGATCATTTGCTTGTGTTCAACTCATTATTGGTTCTGGATATAATGAACCAACTATAGGCCAAATGAAAAGCAACCTCAGGCTGTTTAGAAACACAAAGTCTTTGGAACCGTAGGCTCAGGGAACGAAAATAAAACAGGTGGTCACCAAGACAACGTCCACGAATTACTGTGATTCATTTATTAGACATGGTGTCTGCAATGGCTTTTTATTATTTTAACGAGAAATGTGATCGCCACCTACGGGACTTGAGCCAGACTTGTAACGCAGACAACAAACTACCGGGCTCGAGCCTGACTTGTCAAACAGACAACCACCTACGGGGCTCTTACTAGACTAGTCACGCAGATAATTTCAATAGACCGTCCACTTCTTATCTCAAAAACACATATTTTTTTTTAAAGTTTGAACATTTTTCATGTTGCAGGAAATCGTTTCCGGAAGGAAACATGGGTTCAATTTTTAAAAATAAAACCATTATCTACTGGGCGCGAGCCGTAATCTACTATATCCCTATTAAATCTCAGTGAAGAATAAAATGCAGCCACTTCTATCTTTCCAAGGTAAAAGAAGGTATGAGAAATAAAATGTGGATCACAGGTGCCTCTGTAGTCTTGTTTGTTTTGTTCTCTACTTTTTTTTTAATATACCGGGAGTTTCATTAAATCTACAGCCGTTCTTGAGAATAACATCCAATAATTGTGACTCCTGTATATATATAAAGTTAAGGGGCGAAAGTCTGGATAAGTCTTATTTCTAGAAGTCAGTTTCATATTCATACATTTGCGGTAAGCTCGGGGTGATGGGACAAGGGGAGGGGGGGGGGGGGGGGGCCTGGGTGAAGGGAGCACCAACCCTTAACGCCATCTTCAGAGGGCGCAAAAATCGTCATTTTTCTTTCAAAGTACGTTTGGAAAATATACTTTTTGCAAAAAATTATTCATACATTTGCGGTAAGCTCGGGGTGATGGGACAAGGGGAGGGGGGGGGGTGGGGGGCCTGGGTGAAGGGAGCACCAACCCTTAACGCCATCTTCAGAGGGCGCAAAAATCGTCATTTTTCTTTCAAAGTACGTTTGGAAAATATACTTTTTGCAAAAAATACGCCTAAATTCAAGCTTAGTGCCGGGGATGGGAGGGAAGGACTTAGCCTGCCACATCCCTCTGTGATAAAGTAAAACATTATTTGTTAGAAAATATATTCCGTATAGTTAATTTATTTTTAAGGGTAAATGATTTTAAAATAACTTTTTTAAAAGTTCTTAAATTTACAGAATTGACTTTTGAACCTCATATTTTTACTTGCTACACGTATTCATCCTCTTAGTGATTCATCCAAAATTAAAATTAAAATGTTTAATGCTACCTTGAAGAAAAAAATGATAATAATAAAGCTCTCTGGTGTTCAAGAATACAGAAATGTTTTGGGAAATTTATACACTCTTAACGATCATCTCTAGTATCTTAAAAATACTTGTGGTTTTTTTTTCGTCCGCCCGTATCAGGGGAGACTACACTGTGGTATTTATATCCATGGATTTTATATTGATTTAATTCTATTTTTGGAGGGGGTTTCTCGCTTTCCGTTTAACCACACGTTTGTAGCGGCAAAGGCAGCTGGCGTTTGCAATGAAATTTCGAAAACATACATTTCGTGTCATTTAAATATTACCAGTTAACGCAGTGGTTCTCAACTTTTCTAGTGCAGCGATCCCTTAATACAGTTTTTCGTGTCGTGGCGACCCCACAGCCACACAATTATTTTCGTTGCTACTTCATAGCTGTAAGGATATATTTTTTCAGATGGTCTCAGGCGACCCCTGAAAAAGGGTCCCGCGACCCCCCAAAGGGGTCGCGACCCGCAGGTTGAGAACCGCTGAGTTAACGTAAGGTAAGGACCGTAGGCGAAGAAGACTAGTGACAGCGACACTGTAGTCTAGAGAGGATTTGATGACAATTACAGACAACCATTTCAAGAGCCAGATGGATTCAAATGAAGAAGCGCGGAGCTCAATGACAGAAGCTTAGTTCTGGTGGGTGATAGTCTTTGGGTCTGTTAAGGTACAGGCCATCGGGAGCTTAAGACTCAACTGAATAAAAATGTATTATGACTAGATCAAAGATACTAGAAACGAGGGTCACTGAAATAATTAAGTTGCAATATAATAAATAAAGCATAATTTTCATGTTAACTGATAAATATTTTGTTTTTCTTACATTTTATGTGTGCATTTTATTAAAATAAAATTTATAGGAACAATTCTCATATCAGGCGCAGCGCAAAAATGAAATAAAAATATGACGGGTTCAAAGGACGAACCAGTGATGTCAGTTTTTTTTCGAAATTTGCAAGTCATCTCCCGTGTGGCTACATTCCATTCACTAGAATAATATGACACATAGGCCCAATTGAAAAAGCAGCGTAGTCATTAAGTAAATATGTAGACATTTTGATATTATTATATTTTCATGGAGAATTTTCAAACTTTATTATCAATTTTTTTCAAAACTCTCAAAACCTGACTTCACTGGTTTTTCCTTGAACCCTTCATATGTTAAAATAAAATTTTATTTTATAACCACTCAGCAATTCTTGGTCAGATAGCGGAGGTTTCATTAAGGTAAAAACAGATTCCCGTCAGGCCTACCAGCTGTGTAACTTAATATTAATTGTGTCCATGTTAGTGAATGAGATGTGCAGTTTCTCCGCACTTAAATGTGAAGTGCGATCTGTAGCAGCATTACTGTATTTAAATGTGTTAGCTCTTTCGTTCTCTCTAGCAAGACCAGCGGGGCTAAGGATGATTGCACCAGCTTTCCTCACCTTACTTATCGTGGATTCCATCTCGGCCTTACCCCTGATTCCCAGCGGGGTTAGTACAAATAGATTCTGCGTATTGTGAGTGTAAGTGTAAGTGCATGGGGTGGTAATAGAGGTTGGGGGGGGGGGGGGGGTCGAAACAGTTCAGTTAAACTTTTTTAAAAAGAAAGCTCACCCTCTGCTTTAAGCTATACTAGTGGTAAAGGAAGTAATTGAACAATTCTAAATGATGTTGATTCCCAGCGGGGTTAGTACAAATAGATTCTGCGTATTGTGAGTGTAAGTGTAAGTGCATGGGGTGGTAATAGAGGTTGGGGGGGGGGGGAGGGGTCGAAACAGTTCAGTTAAACTTTTTTAAAAAGAAAGCTCACCCTCTGCTTTAAGCTATACTAGTGGTAAAGGAAGTAATTGAACAAGTCTTAATGATGTAAATACAATACGCCTCTGTCCGTGGCTCCCAAAATAAAGTTAGCAGTAATAATTTATAAACAAAAGGGCTCTTCAATTAAAAAGGTTCCCAACCCCTCGACTGTGCTAGGGGCCGCATTTTGTTATTCACCAGAAGGGATTGAGAATCTTCCATAAGAGCATGTCACATTCCTGAAACAAACATAAAAACCGTAGCAATGCTGTCTATACCCAAACCTCATAATTGCATACCCATGTCGATGTTTCAATGCCCTTATGGTTTCTTGAAGTATAAGTGACTCCCATATATTCTTCGATAAATAAGACATAGGCCGTGTATTCTATACAGCAATATTTTGTATGAAAATTGAAGTCTGCAGAGTAAATTAAAAATTTGCCCTACATTAATTAAGTTTCATGTCTAACGTGAATGTATTCTGCTATTTTGACTATCTATTCCAGTCTCAAATTGATCTGGTCAATCATTTCAAGCTGCAAAATAACGAATTCTTCAACAACCTTTTTGGTCTGATCTCCACTCTGACCACAGAGGGAGAACTCACCCAACAAGATATAAGTGTCAATGATGCCCTTGCTGCCCTCCGTGGTGCACTTACTGGAAAGAGAGAGCTCACCCAACAAGATATTAGTGTCAATGATGCCCTTGCTGCCCTCCAAGGTGCACTTACTGGAAAGAGAGAGCTCCCCAACAAGATATAAGTGTCAATGATGCCCTTGCTGCTCTCCGTGGTGCACTTACTGGAAAGAGAGAGCTCCCCCAACAAGATATTAGTGTCAATGATGCCCTTGCTGCCCTCCATGGTGCACTTACTGGAAAGAGAGAGCTCACCCAAAAAGATATTAGTGTCAATGATGCCCTTGCTGCCCTCCAAGGTGCACTTACTGGAAAGAGAGAGCTCCCCCAACAAGATATAAGTGTCAATGATGCCCTTGCTGCTCTCCGTGGTGCACTTACTGGAAAGAGAGAGCTCACCCAAAAAGATATTAGTGTCAATGATGCCCTTGCTGCCCTCCAAGGTGCACTTACTGGAAAGAGAGAGCTCCCCCAACAAGATATAAGTGTCAATGATGCCCTTGCTGCTCTCCGTGGTGCACTTACTGGAAAGAGAGAGCTCACTCAACAAGACATAAGTGTCAATGATGCCCTTGCTGCCCTCCGTGGTGCTCTTACTGGAAAGAGAGAGCTCACCCAACAAGACATAAGTGTCAATGATGCCCTTGCTGCCCTCCGTGGTGCTCTTACTGGAAAGAGGGAGCTCCCCCAACAAGATATACGTGTCAATGATGCCCTTGCTGCTCTCCGTGGTGCACTTACTGGAAAGAGAGAGCTCACTCAACAAGACATAAGTGTCAATGATGCCCTTGCTGCCCTCCGTGGTGCTCTCCTTGGAAAAAGAGAACTCAGCCAACAAGATGTTACTCTAATTGAAGCCCTTGCAGCTTACCGAGAAGCTATTGCTGGAAAGTGACGATCTGATAAAGATTTCCTCATTTCCCCTTAAGATCACCAATTGCACCGATGAACAATTTCAAAGCATTTAAAATTAGTCTAATCCAGTGCTGGATTAAGACCCTCCCTCTCCCCTGAGGCAGTTAAAATCTCATGGTCCCAAACATTCAAATCCTCACATCCTTTGAAAATAGTTTTACTTTTACAAGATCAATACTGCTTCTGGTTGGCAGAAATTGTTAATAAAATTTAAAAAAACACATTCTGTTGATTGTTATTTCTCTGATACGTGAATTATCATGTGTTTCGTATCACTGACAATGAATTAATCTAATAACTCAAGCTTATACAAATACAAGGAATATGTGAGAAAACAGCTAGGCCATTCACTATCAGAACAACTGCGTAAATAGCCGTGGGAAACATAAGAAAGTTGATAAAGATGAGACTTGATGATGATAAAACGTTTATAGTGGTGGTTGTCACTGGTTGCATTCTATTAAATAATGTGAACACCTAATTAGCGTTTTCACAGACAACAACAAAATCTTCATCCTGTGGGCGACACCGTTCGTTTGAGAACATCTCGATATGGCGTTGTTGGCTCCCAGTTGTGGGTCTTAGTGGCGAGGCTTATAACCAAAAGCGCAATAGAGTATGATTGGTTAAATACGATTAAATATGGATAATTGTGTGTCCAATTCAGAAAATTAACGCACAATATTTTCTTTTAAATTAGGGTTTATATCTCTGGACCGCTAAGATGTGCCTGGCTCCTACCTCGCTGAGCACATTCTTGGCGTTTCGTTGAATCAAGAAACTCCGACCGATTGCAGGCCTCCGCTTGCGTGCCGCAACAAACCCAAAGGTTCATTGCTAAGGGAGACAACCCCAAATGAAGCATCTTGAATGACTTTTTTCTCAACGATAATTCTTATAACTCCAGACCACTTTCGACACCGCTTGTGCCAAGCTGTATCTTTCACTTCTTCTTCTATATATCATGGGCCCACGATCAATGCATTCATCATTCTGGCTCCTTTGTATGCATGGGGATATTTCACTGGTTGCAAGGGCTGCACAGCGATGCCATCAGGAACTGGGGGTTTAGAAGGCCTGGGACAATAGACACACAAGTGTCAGGTGTTGTCGCCTCAACTTTTCCTTTCGAAAGCTTGTTCCAGTCCCGGATTGTCTTTGGGTCTACCAGCAGTGTGAGGAGTTGGGATCTTCTGACTAGGAGCCAGCTTATACTCCATAACAAAATACGAGGGGAAAAAATATTTTTGGTATGGATTTCACTGCAGTTGCAAAAACCAAAAAAAAATTATATTTTTTCATTTTTTTTTAATTATTGAAAAAAAAGGAGAAAAAAAAAGCACAACAAAAGCCTTGAATCAAAATTGATTTATAGTTATATATTTTTTTACATTGGTGTTTTAAACAAAAGAATATATTTAATTAAACTGTGAGATTAAATGTATAACAAAAAAAATGAATATAAATATGATCGTCGTTAATTAAATCTTAATAGCACTCAGGTGTAATAATAATTATAATAATGAGAAAAACAATAATTTGTTGTTGTTTTTTTTTAAATACTGGCAAATTGTGTTATTTATTAAGTAACTAACTTACTTCTATATTGTTAATACTGTCTTGTTTTGTTTTGTTTTTATTTGTTGTTTTTTTCATTTCCTTAATACTTTAAGCAATTACAATTGATAATTTATGATCGGAATAAATCAATGAATCAACAATATTTAAAGACTATGTCAGTGACATGTGTAAATAGATCGCTAAATGTGAAAATATCACTAAAATGATTATATATCACAATAGATTAATTCAAATCTTAATATCATGAAGCAAAGTTCATATTAACTTCATTTATGTGACTATAATTTAATGGCTAAAATGAACCCAATACGCAGTCACGATGACGTATTTAATTAATATTCCTGTTGTTGTTCGTCCTGCTTTTTCTTCTTTTTCTGCTTCTTCTGCGTCTGCTGCAGCTGCTGTCCTTGTCCTTCCTCGTCGACGCCCCGTCCATGACGCCCGCCCGACGACGGCCCCACCTGCTGTTTGCTGGTGATGCCGACCACGGCACAGATGCCGGCTACAAGGGTGAGGATGGCGACTATGATGGCGAAGTAGAAGCCGGACTGCAGAATCTCCCGGTCGAAGCCGGCGTCGAAAGACCGGTCAAACCTCACCCCAAATATGATGATGGCCACGATGTAAAACACAGCTGGGGAATCAGATGCGGAGTCAGGTCTAAGGCAGGTAGATCAAAGTTGTTGTTTTTTGTTCTTGTTTTTTTCCCTTGTTTCATTTTTTTTTTAATCACGGGACCTAATGAGATCAAGTTTGTGTATACCGTTTCCAAGTTATCTATAAAAATGGTTGTTGTTTTTTTTTTTAAAAAAAAAAAAAACCCCCCCGGGGGGGTGGTTCGTAAAAAATGTCTGAAATCTTGATAGAAGCTTTTAAATTATAATGAATTAAAGAGACGGTATTTGTATTAATGATTTTAAAAATGAGATTTGTCATGTTTAATGTGAAATATGAGATGTTTTAGACCTTTTATAAGTTTTGACTTATTAGGAGAGAGAATTCAGAAATAAAAATCTATTTCTGAAGACTTGGAGGGGTGATGTCCCATGACTCTTCAGGTTCAAAACACCCTTTCTGAATCTTATGTAAAATTGTGTTATGTGTTGTTGTTTATTTGTTGTTTGTTTGTTTAGTTTTTTGACGTCAGTGTTTATCTTATACGCGTGATAAGTTGGTCATCCATCTTGCTTCCACTGCTTGGTCTTATTACGCCTAGTTAGTTGACGTCATATTCTATAATATAAATGTGTGTGTGTACAAAAAAAAAAAGGGTTGGGGGGGGGCTATATTCTACACAATTAACTAGACCTTTAACATTAAGAGAAGATTGTGGGAGTGGGGGTGAGGGCTATAGTCTAGTCAATTCACTAGACCGTTAACATAGATAGAATATTGTCTGTGGGGGGAGGTGGGCAAAAATTAGTGTGACGTCATTTATGAACTCACTTGTTATAAAACATGCAATAGCGCTCCCTATGGCGAGTTCCCTGGACCCCTTGCATGGCGGCACGTAGAGAAGTAGAATGGTCAGACAAAAAGCTACGTTCACTGACATAAATGCAAAAATGGCGAATCCTTGGAAGGCCCCGTACCATTCTGAAATCAAACGAAAAAGAACTTATAAACATTATTTTCATTTTAAAAATTGATAAAACTCTAAATATAGACTTCAGCCGCGATGTCCTAGTCAAGGGTAATAAGGGGAGAGACTGCGATCAGGTTAGCACAATATAAAATGAGTAAAACAGAGTAGGGTTAAACCTGAAAAAAAGGAACGCAACAAAACAGCAAACGTGTCTGCAGAAAGCCTTATTCAGCAAACAAAACAACAGAAAAACGGTATAAAAATAAAAATACGGATACTACCTCTAAGTTAAGCTAAGTGCTAGTTCTTATTTTTATTTTTATACCGTTTTTTCTGTTGTTTTGTTCGCTGACGAAGGCTTTCTGCCGACATGTTCGTTGATTTGTAGCGTTTCTTTTTTCAGGTTTAACCTTACTCTGTTTTACTCATTGTATGATGTGCTCGTCAGTGTGAAAAAAATTGTTGCAAATAAAACAAAACTAAGCATGTTAGGTATCGACACTAAACTAACCATAGTAAGTATCGACACAAACCTAACCATGGAAAGTATCGACTCAAAACTAACCATGGAATGTATCGACACAAAACTAACCAAGCGAAGTATAGTCACAAAACTAAGGGAAGTATCGACACGATATTAACCAAGGAAAGTATCGATATGTCTAAACAAACAAGTTCTTTAAAGAGATCGAAAAAATAAATAGTTAAATAATAATAATATTCTCCTACTAACTTAAAAGTAAATTAAATACGTAATCTGTAGACCATAATACGTTTATCTACACTGATGTTGTGTATGTAAAGCTATTAAGGGAGAGCACCAATAAAACAAAACCAGGTCATTCACACTCCAACTATACAAGCAATGGCAGCTACACTATTTATTTTTTTTTTTTTAAATTTATTTTAAATTAAACATGTTTTAAATGTATCCCAATATAAAATTGAATGTAGTGATGTTTAATTTTGATAAGTTGGTTTTGTTATTTTATTTTGTTGTATTTCTTGGAACCGGCTCGTAATTAATATTAAAGATATTAAAGGAGAGAACCAATAAAACAAAACCATGTCATTCACACTCCAACTATACAAGCAATGGCAGCTACTCTATTTATTTTTTTTTTTTAAATTTATTTTAAATTAAACATGTTTTAAATGTATCCCAATATAAAATTGAATGTAGTGATGTTTAATTTTGATAAGTTCGTTTTGTTATTTTATTTTGTTGTACTTCTTGGAACCGGCTCGTAATTAATAGGTCTGACTTCATCAAATCAAAATATAATTTACATACTCTAAATTTTAATTTACTGCCCAAACAAATGGAGCGGAACATACGCTGATGGTCATAATAATGAATGTCTTGTTTGTTTCGTTTCTTTGGTATTATGCCGTAATAAAATGCAATTACATTATTATGCCTCCGTGTTTTTTGTCATTATTTAAGGCATAAAACCTAAACATTGGCTTTCGTTTCTTTGGTATTATGCCGTAATAATGAATGTGTATTTTGTTTCGTGTCTGGGGTATAATGCAGCAGTATAGTGTATTTGTATTTTGTTTCGTTTCTAATGTTCTGTGCCGTACGTATGATAGAAGACATGGAGGTATACTTTGCCAGAAAGCCACACAATCTGAGATGACAACAACGAGATACCTTACCTTAATTATAACCCTTTACTTAAAAACTTTCAACATTTATTAAATAAGGAACAGCCATATCACTTAAATTTTAAAAACTTACTTAATCTCCATCCAGGCAATTTAACCACTTACTTAAACCTCCACCCATCCAGTTAACTACTTACTTAGGGCCCACACATACATTTAACCACTTACTTAGCCTCCACACTAGAGGCCGACCGAATTTCGGCTTCGGCTTCGGTTTCGGCGCCGAAAGTGGCCATTTTATCACTTTCGGCCAAGTTTCGGTTTCGGCCGAAACTGGAAAGTTAACTTTCGGCTTAATTTCGGTTTCGGCCGAAAGAGAAAAGTTAACTTTCGGTTTTTCTTCGGTTTCGGCCGAACTTGACTTAGACTTTCGGCCATCCGGCCGAAAGTTACTCAGGTTTTCGGTCATTTAATACTAATCGAAAGCTATATGCTACAACAAACTAAGCGACATTTAAGAACAAATTAAGCGATCTTTGAGACCAAACTAAATGATATTTAACAACAAACTAAACGACATTTATGAACAAACTAAACGATCTTTAAAACAAACTAAGCGATCTTTAACAACAAACTAAGCTTTCTTTAAGAAACAATTAAGCGACCTTTAAGATTAAACTAAGCGATATTTTAGAACAATCTAAGCGATTTTTATGAACAAACTCACCGATCTTTAACAACAAACTAACCGATCAATAACAACCAATTAAACGGTCTTTAACAACAAACTAAGCGATCTTTAACAACAAACTAAGCGATCTTTAAGAACAAATTAAGTGATCTTTTAGAACCACATTTTTAGAGACCTTTATAAATAACAAAAAAAGATCATTAAGGGTTCTCAAGAACTAGGATTCACTTTCATCCACCTACTCACTGTTGCCAGAGAGCTGGCATACAAAAATATATAGAGACATTAAAAAAAATCAGAATTAGATTAGTCGGTGAGATTCGACTGAAACCGTCGCGGAGAGTCACGTTATATATATGAGAATGGGGGAAACGGGCCGGCGATGTACACTAAACTTTTCTGTCATGGAGCGGGCCGCAAAATATCGTCTTGCGGGTCACAAATGGCTTGCTGGCCGCGAGTTTGAGAACCCTAAATTAGATTTTTATTTATTAATATTTACGATTATCTCATTTTTATAAAAAGAATGTAAATATTTATATTTTCCCACATCATTTTCGATGTAAGCAGAATGTATGCGGGAACGAATTTCAAAATATCTTAATATTTCTAAGAATGTAAATATTTATATTTTCCCACATCATTTTCGATGTAAGCAGAATGTATGCGGGAACGAATTTCAAAATATCTTAATATTTCATTTTCGGTTTCGGCTTCGGTTTCGGCTTCGGTTTCGGCTTCGGTTTCGGCCAAAATTCATTTTTAACTTTCGGTCTTTTATCGGTTTCGGCCGAAAGTCATTTTTAAACTTTCGGACTTTTTTCGGTTTCGGTCGAAAATCATTTTAAACTTTCGGCCTATTTTCGGCTTCGGCCGAAATCAGAAAATCACTTTCGGTCGGTCTCTACTCCACACATCCATTCAACCACTTACTTAACCTCCACCCATCCAGTTAACCACTTACTTTGCCTCCACACATCCAGATAACCACTTACTTAGCCTCCAACCATCAATATAACTACTTGCTTAGCCTCCACACAGCCAGTTAACCCCTTGCTTAGCCTCCACACATCCAGTTAACCCCTTACTTAGCCTCCACCCAAGTAGTTAACTATTTACTTAGCCTCCGACCATCCAGTTAACAACTTACTTTGCCTCCACACATCCAGATAACCACTTACTTAGCCTCCCTCCAGCCAATTTAACCACTTACTTAGCCTCCACCCATCCAGCTCCACACAGTTGGCACTAGGTTCTTGGTTTCCGCATTCCTTCCACACACCGAAACCTTTCCTGTCTTTGTTATTGAGAGGGTTGCTATCGAAGAGCCCCCAGTCGTTCATACACATACTCAGCCAGTTGAAGATCTGGGCCACCTGGACACGACGCAAACGTTTGAACACAATAATTATACCATGCAATTGTAGAACATGTGGAATACATTTTAAATCATACATAATTAACGTATTTTTTTTTTTAGCTTTTTGTATGTACCTTACCCTTAAAGAAAAAAACAACGTGATTAAATCAAATTAAATTATAATAAAAAGCGGTAGCAATCTTAATGTTTTATTATAATTATATCACGGGTATTCTTAATATAAAAAAAATCTTTATCTTTTTAAACTAGTCTGTAGTGGAGAAGGTGGGTGAGCTAAAAGAATATGTATGATTAATTTCTTTTTGGTGGGTCATATTGGTGGAATCTGAGTTTAAATAGGCAGACAAATTCATGTCTTTATCACAGACTATTTTGAATCTAGTCAGATTGAATTTCTGTTTGGAAAACTATTTGCAAAATATTTATCTTTTAAAAAAAAAAAAAAGATTTTACCATACCAATTATCTGCACAATGATTTTTTATTCTGAACTTTTTGTGTTATTCCATCGTAAAAAAAACACATTAATTTCTTGAAATGTAAAAACATGAACTATACCAGTAATAAAATGAGCACAACTCGCCCCATCCAGTTTGTATCCAGGAATCCTTGGATAACACCCATCTCTTGTCATGTACGAATGGCTGTGGATAGGAAATAATATAATTGGGATATTCGTTTGTTACTGCACAATGATCTCATTACGTTTTTTTTTTTATTTTTAAATTACAAATTGGGTTCAATAATTTTCACATGAACAGTGCCATGTGGCAATGTGTAACCAGTTTCAGCTTTACTGATGATTTACTTTATATTGCGTCTTCCTTAAACAGGGCGTTTTTACGCCCCCTGTCGTGTTTACATGTAAAAGTTGTCTCCTCATCTTAACTAGATATGATGGTAGCAACCCCTTTCGCATATTTAAATGTACAATTAGCCTTCACATATTGACTAAAAGAGCCGTCTGCCAACACATTTAGATTAAATTTGTCACAAAAAATTCCCGCTGGTACGCTAAAACAACAAACTCTCATATTACGGAAATAATCCTTAGAAAGTAATCATGAGCCTTAGTAATATATATTATGCCTGCACAAGATGACTGCAATGAAAGATTTTAAAAACTACTTTAAAAAGTCACATTCCTATACCGTAGCTTTTTCAAGGAGGTTTTTCAATTAAAATACATGCATATTTGCAAGTGATCACGGCAGCGCCTTTTAAATCCTCCTTACAACGTTACATGTGGTATCGGAGTCACGTTTGAGAACATCTGAGCGTCGGTCTGCGTTTAAACAAATTGTAAAAATTAACTTTCGTCTCTATAAAATCCTGAAAATGTGAACAAATTTCAATGACAATCCTACCTGTTGTCAATTTTAATTAAGACTGTGATGGGATCCGCTTACACGTTTCCTAGAGTAATCCAATGATTGCAAAATTGTAATCTAATATTGGAAGTCTCGGATCGATAAAATCCTTGTCCGTATATATCACAAACACACAGGGGAAAGTGCGATAGATTGAAGACACGGCGGTTAGCAGAACGCGATATCGTCACACATGAATGATTCTACGGTACTCCTCTTTGATAGGCGTGTGTTTGTGTATTCGTTACGTACCATGGTTGTTAAGTTGAACGTTAATACATAAAGTGAATATAAATAGTCACAGCCAGTGGAGTTTAGTCCCAACCGCAAAGGTTGTATACACTGACAGTTGGTCATAGACTTAGACCCTTATGGCACGTGATGAACGTCCCAAAACATGCCCAGAAAAATAAGCAGGTTGTTTGTGATGATGAAAGGGGAACCACTGTGTAGAGATTAGAAGAAAAAAAACTTTTAAAAATGAATGCTGGTCATTACATTCATACCCCAACATTTTTTAAGCAATGTTTATAAAAAAACTTTTTTTTTTCTTCTTCTAATCTTTACACAGTGGTTCCCCCCTTTCACCATCACATTGTTTGTGATGATGAAAGGGGAACCACCGTGTAAAGATTAGAAGAAAAAAACCTTTAAAAATGAATGCTGGTCATTACATTCATACCCCAACATTTTTTAGCAATGTTTATAAAAATGGCATCTTAGTGAAAATATTTTGCCGACATGTGTGATAGCTTTGTTAGTTTACATTTTTAAGCAATTAAAAAGCGTTCGCTTGCCCAACACTTGAACACTTTATTCGCGGACAAGCATACAATCCAGTTCAACTAAACTATAAATCGTTAAAAACATTAATCGTCATAAACATCCCACTCCAAATTAGACACTGGTTCTAAATGATTAATTAAATGTGAATTGGCGTGGGACGTTAACCGACTTACAATATATGAATATGTTAAAAGCTTAATAATTTAGCATAACCCCAAAACAAAGCTAAATACTGTATTATAAGATATGAAGCAACACCATGTATGATGTATTTGAAGATCTTATTTTATGTTTCTTTACCAAACACAGTGAAATTTAAAAAGTTTACCAGCGATACCTTGTTAACTTAAAATAGACTACTATGAGTTTGGTTATTAGTATAACCTTTTCTTTTTATAAAATATATGGTGTACTGCTGAGAACTACCGTGCATCACATTTAAAGTATCTAATGTAGAAAAAAACATGCGACGGTACCTGGTAATTCCTGAAATTTAGGAAATAGCCAAGTTGTTTTCAGCTATTAATATGGCATCTAGGATCATTGTTAGAAATCTGCCTAAAGATGTAAGAAAAACGATATTACTTTCTTATTTTTCTTTGAGTCTGCTGTATTTGAAAGACAATGCGGAGATACGTTTTCGATAATCCCTAATTTTTCAGATTTTCATTCCTGGAGGCTGGAGTTGGTTGACTACTCTTATACTCACTCAAACACCATTTATTTAAATATATAACACTCGAGTCTAAAGATAAGCTAGACTAATAAAGAACAACTGAGGTTTTTTTTTCTAAAAAGTAACTGTTTGTCGATCAAGGCTTCCATATTTATATAATTCATATAATTTATTATAATGAAATGTGAGCCATCCATTTTGATCACACTTCAGTAGTGACTAGTATTATTAAGTACTGCTAATGAAAATCCGTAAATTGGGCATTGTGATTTCCTGAATCCACTTTCATTTTATTAATCATGATATGGCTCCATAATATGGACGTACAACAATACCTTGTTTTAAAATTTGTTATAGGACAGGCCTAATAAGTAATAGTCTAATAGTGTAACTTCTTTTCTAAATTAAATGAATTACCATTGGCCTTGGCTTGGCTACTATTTTGAAAATATATTTATGGTTGTTTTTAGATAACAAAAGATAAGCTTGTACAGCACATTCAGAAGAACTGCCCAACAACTGTGGTGACTGACTGTAACCTAAAATACACGTCAGATGGCGTTTTTAGAAAATTCGGATTTGTTGGATTTGATGCTCCAGAGCAAGCAACCCTTGTTCAAAAGAAACTTAATGGCACATTTATTAGAACAACCAAAATTCAGGTAACTGTACCACAACACAATTTTAGTGCCCCTAATGTCCCATTATTTTTATAAAATTTAAAGTTTAATATTTACTAATGTGACAAAATATTGAATGAGTGAAATGTTAAACTTAAACAGAATAAATTTTATTACATCATTTAATAGTACCTATATTTTAAAATGTATGACTATGGAATTTTGTAACAGTAGAAATGAACATTAATTTATAAACCAAGGCCTATGCCTATTAATGCTTTAATTTGGTTAATATTAAAACAAGTGTCTCAATATGATTAAATAACAGACAGAATTTTAACTCTGTATTTTATGCCTATGAAAGACTTGTTCATTAAGTTTAAAACTTGTTTTGTATTTATTTACTACAGCTATTTAAAATTAAAGACAGTTTCTGACTATATTATATTATTATTGGCACCTGTTGTAAGATTTATAATAATTTATTTATTCTAACTCTAATCCTGGAATTATTCAATTACTTGTTTTAAGAATTGGATTAAGATTAAACGAAACAATATTTAAATTTAACTACTTTAATGTACATCAGGCCTGATTGTAGAGTATTCTTTTAAAAAATTTGTTAATAAATATTCATATTTTGATAAACTTTTTCTCTAATATAAAGGTTGAGATTGCTGTAGAAATTGGTGATAAGTCAATTAAGTCATGGAGCAAGTATTCGCAGAGGCAGAAATCAACACCCAAATCAGAATCGGCAGGAAAAGCCAATGAAAAGGTAATAATTTTTGTAACTTAAGATAATGTTAATTTTTTTTTTTATATTCTGTTGCTGCATGCGTTTTTTTTGGATATAATTAGATATTAAATGAAATATCTTTAGTTTTATTATGACATTCATTCATGGTATAAACTTATTTCTGTCATTGCATTGTTGAATTCTGGATTAACTGAGTGCTCAGAGAGCTCTTTATACTTAAGCTTTTGTAAAATCATTCTGGCTACTTACATAAACAAATAGTTTAAGTGTAAACAATATTTGTCTTTGACTTTTACATAAATCATCTTATTTTAAACTGAAGGGGACAGGCGAAGTTACAGAAGAGTCTACACCTGCGAAACCAGGGTTTGTGATCAAAATGAAAGGTTTATCTGGATTTTACACAGAGGTATGAGTCTTCCCTTTTTTTAAAGTGTATACAGTGGGATTTTTTTTATACATGTATTATTGTTTTTTCTTTCATATTAGCATTAAATTTTTAGATTTAAAATTATTCATATCATATTGTCATATGTGGCCAAAAGTTTATGCAATTCACTTCACTCCATTTAATCATGAACTTCAAAAACTCTGTCAGAGAAAACTGAGATGGAAAACAATTCATATATTCAGTTGTGTATTTTTTTTTCAGACATTTTTCTCAAATATGCCATGTACTGTTCTTGTAATGACTTTCAGAAAACGGTCCAAGAATTTTTCAAACCAATAAAGTTAAAAGCCATACGAATACCCAGGAATGCTCAAAAGAAACCTATTGGTAATGTCATTTTTTTTGGGGGGGGGGGAGGGGGGGATTATTCATATTTTAAAAAAAATGTTCCTGCAAGTTTTTTTATTCATTAGGAGCTTATGACTTAATGTATACGTTGTCGTGGTAACCTCTATAAAAAGGATTCTTTTTCCTTAGGTGTGGCTTTTGTTGAATTTGGTTCTGAGAAAGAGCAGGAGCAAGGAATGGGAAGAAATAAGAACTTTTTAAGTAAGTTCTGTACACACATCTCTTGATGAATTTTCATTCATTGTAACAGTTGCATAAAATATATCATTTAATTTATTCAAAAAAATGTTCAATGAAATTTACCTCCAGCATTCTTGATGTGGTCTGGGTGGGTTCAAAAATAATAAATGTATTTATTTTTTAATTTATTTTTTAAAAGCTTTAAAAATGTGTGTAGCTTCATCTATTTCATCAATGGCTTCATCTATTTCATCAATGGCTGCATACATTTAATTCTAATCACCAGATGGCAAAAAAATATATTTAAAAAAGTCAACAGAAGAAGTTGCTCCAGAAAAAAAAGTCATTGCTCCACCTCCTTGGGAACTGAAGGTAAAAATTATGATATAAAATATAAATAACACTGTTATTGTTAAAAACTCAAAGTCAAGGGGAAAAAAATTCCTAGACCTATCATCTCCAGAACACACATGAATAATGGTGGGCATAATGATTTGTGAGTGGGTTGGTGAAAGTCAAAGCCTAGGGTAAAAATTTCATTGGCATTATGCTTAACATTCCTTAAAAGAATTTGATGTTTGTTTCATGGACCAGTTTTCAAGTTAACATGTTTTTTAGATTCTAAATAAAATGTCCATTTATGTTAGTATCTTTTTTATATATATAAAATTTCTGGCTACTGTATGTAATCTTGTACATTTTATTTTATGCTGGGGTTTTACCAAATAAAATGAGTAAAACAGAGTAGGGTTAAACCTGAAAAAATAAACGTAACAAAACAATGAACGTGTTGGCAGAAAGCCTTCGTCAGCGAACAAAACAACAGACAAAACAGTCTAAAAATAAGAAATAGCACTTAGCTGGTAAGTAGTATCTGTGGGCAGCAATAGAAGTGTGGCAGAAGGAAAATGAGTGAGAGTTTAAATAAGCAGCGGCAAAAAAAAGGGGGGAGAAAAATGTTCACTGTGATAGGTCAGAACGTGAAGGGGCGGAGCTAGGGTCAAGCTGTGAACAGAGACATAACATTAATACCATCTGGCGTCAAAGTGCCGTTTTACCAGGTGAAAAATTTCTGTGGGATTCAGTTTTGATTATTTGTGCAGGCATTTGCCTAATCCGAATACATTTCACTGGTGCAATGCTAGGCTCTGGGTGAAATTTAACTCAAAAATATACACTTAACGTAACCACATTATGTCCCTCCATGAGTTATGACACAGTTTGTTCGCCTGGCCGCTCCATTTAATAATTCTTATAACTTTATACTATTATTATTCCTTAAAAAAGACTTTAAAATTTAACGCAAGAGCTTCTCTTATGTATTGCATTTTATCAGACTGGGCTCATTAACTCTTAGGCCTTGGAATAGTCTTTGAGAGACTTCTGGTTTGAGCGATAGAACTCCTAAATTGTTTGCATGTTTTGTTACCCATTGAGGTCATGAGCCAGGCACACAGTATCTATGGAATTAGAAGCGAACTATTTAATGATTTCTCTTTATGTAAATTTATATCATTGTTCGAATTCAAAATATGCGTTAAAAAATTTCAAGTGTTGAAACATGTCTGTCCTTTTTGAAATTTAATTCTGAAAATAGTAAATGAGGACCATGTAATTTTAATGTGCCACTTTATTTATCAGTTGTGAACTATTGTAAAATCAGAAAGAGTAAATGAACCTGGATTTCATGTAGGAGTGTGGCACTTTTTGTTTTAATATAGAATATATTCAGCTCTGCTTCCTCTAAGAAGAAATTTAACGTTCTTAATTTTGTGTTTTCACATTTGACCTACAGGCTAAAGAATCCAATCTACAGGAAGTGGAAACCATTGCTGATGTAAGTCCATCATTTACCTGTCATTCTGTATTATTATATATCAGCTAGAAAACACAAAGAACTTAAAGTGTGCCTTCTAAATTATTAATTATCATTGATATTAAATTACATAAACAATGCGTTGGTTACGTTTTTTTAATCTTATGTCCACACTACTTCAGCATGATATAAAAACAATAATTACTTCCTTTTTTTTTTCTTCTAACCAGTCAGGTCGTTTGTTTGTTCGCAATCTCTGGTTTGGAGTAACAGAACAAGAGCTTGAAGAAGTCTTTGGAAAATTCGGTCAGCTTTTAAGCTTGGCTTTCTTTATTTCCTAATAAGAAAAATGGAAGAGAGTTGATTAAATTTAAGTTATTTGAATTTGGAAAACATTCTTTTAAAACAAAATACTAAAAATGGGTGTTGCAATCCATGTCTATGATGGATGAGCTGCCATTGTGATCTAAACTCTATACTTAAGGGCAGTTTGAAATTAGTTGACATTCATTTCAACTTAATTTTAAGCAAAACCCATTTGATATGTGACTATTAATAACTTCATAGATTATGTTTCCGTCCTTCGGTTTATTCTCTACTCCAACTATTAAAATAACTTTTTCTCTTAATTTCATGCAGGTCCTTTGGCAGAAGTGACGCTCCCTGTGGATCCCCTGACCAAGAAGGTGAAAGGATTTGCCCACGTCGTCTTTGTGTTTCCTGAGCACGCCCTCAAGGCCTTCACAGAACTGGACTACACCAGCTTACACGGCCGGCTAATGCACATACTACCAGGGAGGGAAGTTAAAGAGGAGGATGAGTCAAACGGTGGGTTACTCGTTATCAGATCAGTGACAGATTTGGGGGGACATTACGTATTGGAAGTTGGGGGGGGGGGGGGCGGTTACAAAGGGAGGTGGTTTTTTTTTTTTGTTTTTTTGGTGGGTTACTCGTTATCAGATCAGTGACAGATTTGGGGGGACATTACGTATTGGAAGTTGGGGGGGGGGGGGGCTGTTACTAAGTGAAGTTGGTTTTTTTTGTTGTATTTTCTGTATTTGAGAAATGTTGTCATAGTTTAAACTGGTCATACCAGCCATTTCAATGTCACACTCCCACCTATCTGTAAGGGTAACAACAACTACCAAGTCAGTAATGTAGAGAAATTAGTTGCTCTTTGTCAAGACTTGATTCATCTTCAGGGTGTTAGACTCGGGATGTGTTGACTATGAAAATATTTCTATCCCCAATTAATTTATAAGCATCAAATTAAAGATAAACCCTGTTTGCTTTCAGAAAATTCATCGTACAAAAAGAAGAAAGATAAGAAGCAAAAGTCAAATAGTTCCAGGTGAGTTTTGCAATAATAATAATAGCTTCTCAAATTTAAAAAAAAAATTTCCTCTTTTTTGTGTCAGGTCCTCGATAATTTAGAAAGTTTCCATCAGAGTCAGTAAATATTTTATAAAGCAGTCAGATATCCAGGCTGCCATTTCCTTAATTAAATGTTTAAATTAATATTAAGTTTATATGCTGTGTAAGTAAACTCTTAACTATTGCCATTTGAATCACGCTTCTGTTTCTGTTCCCTGTCAATAGAAAGGATTGCAGACTTTTAATTTCATTGTTTCATTTTTATTTACTATTATTTTGAACAGTTGTTGCTTCTCCTACTAAAAACCTTCAGCATCTCATGGTTGACATAAATGTCTGCTTTGATGGTACATATAGTCATTAGTTCAGTTTTATGTTTGGGGGAATGGAATTTACTTTTAAACAATGTTTGTTAAAACCACTATATAAATTCAACTCTTCCAGCTCCCACAACTGGAACACACTCTTCCTCGGTGCCAATGCTGTAGCAGATGCAATGGCCAAAACATACAACACTGACAAAAGTAATATTCTGGATGATGTAAGTCTATGGTTGTGTCTCATGCCAACAAGCGGAAGTTATACTGATATCCATGTGTTCAGGTCAGTTTAAAAAATCATATCTTATAAGTTTTATTCCATTTTTCCAGGACACGAAAGGTAGTTTAGGAGTCCGACTGGCCCTGGGAGAGACACAGATAGTGGCAGAAACAAGAGATTTTCTGATCTCGAACGGGGTCGCCTTGGATAGTTTTAGCCAGGTGAGTAAACTTTGTTTTACCTAAGTTTATTGACCTATCTTTAATAGTATTTCAAATTATCTATCTGATTCCAAATAAACTTAAAAGCTTTCTCCTAAATCTCACTTTTCTGGTGTCCCTTTGTTTTTTGAGTTAAGAGAAACAAAAGACTATACCTAATAATGTATACCCATTCAACTACACCATATTTGAAAATGAAAATACATACCCATTCAATTATACCATATTTGAACATTAAAATACATTTGCTAAAGTTTGTCTCTTTAAAATGTTTTGACTAATATAATGAGATTTTTTTTTTCTTTTGAAAATATATTTTTTTTTGGCATAGTTCAAATATCTTTATTTTCCCTTGTTAAAGGCAGCCGGAGAGAGAAGCAAAACAGTCATCCTGGTGAAAAACCTGCCCTCTAGTGTCACAGTTGACGAGCTCAGGGACATCTTCAACAAACATGGAACTGTGAATCGTGTTGTCATGCCCCCGTCTGGGATAACCGCTATAGTTGAGTATCTTGAACCTTCCGAGGCAAGGCAGGGATTCATGAAGCTGAATTTTTCAAAGGTGATTTTTTTTTTTTTTCATCATAGATAAAATCCCACACTGGCTTAACAGCTGCTTCAGAAATATTTTTTTCAACATAAATTAATTGAAAGTTATGTTGGGTTTTTTTTAGGTTTTTTTTTTTTCCACTTAAAAATATTTTAACTTACCATCTTTCTCTAAGCCCAGAGGAAGTTTCAGCTCATAAATCTATCAACACTGAAACCTGCCACAATATAAAAACATAAGGACCCATTAATAATATGCATGAAATACACCTCATTTAAAAATTGAGCAAGCCAATAGAGTTCATCGAAGATAATGAACAAAATAGATATTCTGACAAAGTTTAAGCATTCTGATAAATTGAAATAACATTTTAAAATGATGTGCTTATAATGCATAATGAGTCTTTATTTTTATCAATAGATCCCTGCAAAACTAGCCACAGTTGTAGCTGATTTTTTGCAACTGATATTCTATAGCTGTTTAAGATACTTATTTGTGAGTTGACCCAAGCTGTGCTGTAATAGCTTTTGCTTCCAATGAGGTTTTTATAAAAATCTATTTTTCAGTTCCGCTCTATCCCACTGTATCTGGAATGGGCCCCGATGGGCATTTTCATCCACCCATCCTCAAAAAGAAAACCTGATGAGACGCCAGTAAAAGAAAATAACGCAGGGGATGAAAATGAAGAAGAAGGCAAGAAAGAGATAACAGGAGAAGCAAAACAAGACGAAGTAAATTTGATAGCGAATGTTTTAAAGCGCACAACTTGATTTGTTCCTCTAATGGCCTGCGGCTGGTAATGTCCCCTGAGCATCAGGCTAATGTGATTGTGGGGGCTGATATCCTTGTCATGGCATTTCTATGGCCTTGCTTTCTTTTCTCATTGTTTCTTTGTAGAATGGGCTCCACAGCTGCTGTTGTTGTATTTTATTTTTGGAAAGGTTGGGGGGGGGGGGGGGTTTCCCCATACTAATTATGCTTCTAAGACTGTTAATGCTCATGTAGAGCAGGGGCTCCCCATCTGTGGTCCATGTCACTTCACTATCTCAGAATTTTTCGGCCACCATTTTCCAACTCTGTTCCTATTCACTCCCACTTATATAAGAGCAAAAATAAGGTTCAACTAGTGGACGTGGCTGCGACTATTCTCAGTTGGTGAACTCAATTAAGTCTTCAAGATGAGGTATTTTCAGTACTATTACTTTTGGCTCTTGCTAAACAATATTATTAATTTGTATCTTGTACCAAACAACTGTGTTTTGCATTTTTGTTTAAACATAAATATCACTTCTTTGTTGTTGTTTTTTTATATATTATTTTAATGTTTATCAGGGAGCCACCTCTGATGCTGAGCCAGAGGAGGAGGCTACAGTGTTTGTCAAAAACTTGAATTTCAGCACTACAGATGAACAGCTCCTAGAGGTAAATCTCACATTACACTATGAACCTGAAAACAAAATATTATTTAACTTCAATGGGAAATCATCTAATCCTGGTGCAATATTGTCTCATATAAAAACAACACTCTTCTACTTCTACATATTTTTTATTTAACATCTTTGTTTAAATTCAGCACAACAGATTAACAGCTCCTTGAGGTAAATCTCACATTAAATAATGAGCCTGGAAACAAAATATTATTTTACTTCAATGGGGAAATCATGTAATCCTTGGTGCAATGTTGTCCCATATAAAAACAAGACATTATTCTACTTCTACGTTTTTTTTTTATTCAACATATTTGTGTCAATGATAAGCTTTGCTAAAAAAAAACTGGGTTGTTTTGTTTCACCTTTTTTTTTTTGAGGATGGTGTAAGTTTTTATTGAAAACAATAAAGCTAAAAAGAAGGGGAAAAACACTTATGCTGGGAATTTGTTGACTGAATTCCTCTGCTTGTAAAACTGTGGAGCTATTATAATTTGTCATAACAAAAATTCCATCACAGTTGTAGGTCTTCCAAACTGAATTATGTGTAGAATTGTTGACCATGACAAACAAGTGGTTCCTTCCCCTGGGGATCAGTTATTTCTTGTAATGCCATAGTGGTCTCCCTTAGCTGCTTCATAATAAGATTGCTTTACCAGTCCATCTTTGACCTGTCAATTATGTTGTCTGTGAGTTGTGCAATGTTTGCATTCTTTCCTGAAAGAAGTGTTGTGCAATGAGCTTAAGATAGAAATAAGTTGGGGGGGGGGGGGGGGGGAATGTTTAGGATTGTGTCCAAACCATTGATTTTTTTATCAGTAAATAGAATTAAAATAAAATGATCCCAGTCAATTTAAAATGGTATGTTACTCAATTTTTATTTCTTAAATTCAAGTCAAATATTATTTTGTAGCTGACTTTCCTCATTGTAAGCTCAAATTTTATCGTGCCGCTGAATTTCCTAATGTTGTGTTTAAGAATGATCTGATCATGTGCTGAGTTGGTGCCGACATCTTGTATATATTATAATATTTCATTTTTTACTAAAGAGTTTTGAAACATAGTGACCTATGCTCTGATCAAAATTTCTGCCTTCATCTCTTACTGTGTCTCTTACTGTGTGTGTGTCCCTTACTGTGTTTTTTACGGTGTGTGTGTCTCTTAGTGAGTCTCTTCCTGTGCACTTTAAAAGATTTCAAAAGATCATCTTTAAAAAAAATTCAGCTGTTTAGAAGCAAGACTTTTGCTATATTATTATGGGCTTTGAATATTATTGATTTATTGCAACAGTTTGCACAACAAGAAGGCTGCCACTTAACTGTCAGTGAGACCAAGCAACTTTGCTGAAATTATCATTTATAGTTATAAGCACTCGTAGAGATGTGTACTGACAATATCTTTAGCATTTTTTTCCACAGCAGCTGGGTGGAATTTTATATGAAATTTTGTTACGTTAGAAAACATATCTTCTTGTTCACAGCATTTTCAAAAGATTGACAAAAAAATTGTTTCTGCAACAGTTTCCAAGAAGAAGGATCCCAAGAAATCTGGTATGTCAGTTTTTAATATCTGTTATTTCAGTGATAGATTTAAACCTACTCTGGACCATCAAAAATTCTTTTTTGTTAATTCCCCCCAAAAAAACATAAAAATTTTTTTTTTTTTCCTTCAGAAATTCAGGTTTAAAAAAATTATGTAACTTTTTAAATTTTTTGTTCATTTAATTGTTAAACATGTAACGTCCCAAGTGGAGTTATGCCCCTTTGCTTAGGCAGCCGGGGAGGGGGGGGGGGGTAAAAACAAAAATAATTCTGCTAGAATAGGTAAAAGAAACAATGCGTGGTCCATCACTTTTGAAGTTATAGCCAGCAAAAACAGTTCCAACTCCCCTATACCCAATTTTACCTTTCAAGCTGATAAATTTATAAATTAATGTATATTTTGTTCCAGGGGAACTGTTATCCATGGGTTATGGTTTTGTACAGTTCATAAAAAAGGCAGATGCCAAGGAAGCCCTAAAAGTTCTTCAGAATTCTGCATTAGACGGACACAACTTGGAGCTGAAAATTTCAAATAGAACTGTCAAGTAAGAGATCTCTAATGTTTAATTCACTTTTCTTTGGTTGAAGCTGGTCTACTCTAAGTGTATCTCAGTCAGATTGTCAATGTGTTTTATAATGAGAACCCTTTTGTTATATAAAATGCAAATAAAGAGAACATTCCTTTACGTTCCGGAAATGAAGTCACCTGAAAATGTTTTCGTTTGTTATATGAGGTGATTTTTGTTTTGGACTTCAGGCAGCTTGTCTACTGGTTAGATCAGCCCATTTTGTGTAGTTCTATAAGTTCCATGTTGTGTGCCAGGATGGACCAGTTCTTCTTGCTGCTGACTATTAATGTCAAATTTTCAGCAATTAGTTGATTTTTGTGTGAACATTGTAACCTCCTCCCAGAGAATACTTGCCTTACACAATTACTTTACACAATTGCTTTACACAGTTGCCTTACATACTAACAAATTCATGCCACCTGATTATTTAAGCAATTTATACTATTAACATTTACAGCCAGGTGAAGGGTCGTAAGAAGCAAGATGAGACCAAGCAAAAATCCACCAAAATTCTGGTTCGTAATATACCTTTTGAGGCCAAGAAGAGAGAAATTGAAGAACTGTTCAAGTAAGGGTTTTTTTTTTTTTTTTTTTTGGTGGTTTTTTTTTTTTTTTTTTTTTTTGGTAGTTTTTTTTTTAACAGTAGAAATTGATTGTTTTACCAAGATTGTATTGTGTGTGTTACCAATGGATTGGTTTGCCAAGACCCTATTTTATATGTTACCATCAGTGGCTTGTGTTCTTACAGGGTGTTTGGTGAGCTCAAGTTTGTGAGACTGCCAAAGAAACTTGGAGGGACGGGACCTCATAGAGGTTTTGCTTTTGTTGACTTTGTAACAAAACAAGATGCCCAGGTCAGATTTATTTAGTCATAGTTAATTAAAAATATATTTATGTATATTTTCTCTTTTAATTTTTTTTTTTAAGTTGATTCTATTTTAATACTGAGCATTAAATCCAATTAAATCTCATATTAATAATACCTTGGAGTCTTCTTTATTTTTTTTATGCAAAAATGATGTCATCAAATGCTTGATTGCAATCTCTGGTTAAATTAAACCGTGCTGATGTACTCAATCATTTTATTTTCTAAGTATTACTGTTTTACTATTCAAAACAAGGAAAACTATTGATTTTTTCTTTTCTCTGTGTAAATTAGTTCTTTTCATTAGAAACGCTGACCATTACATATTCTGAACAGTATATATCTACTGACTGCTAGGGATCACTAAGTCAGCTGATATTCTCATTAATTGTAAAGTTACAAACTGTCAATCTAAGGTGGCTAAAAATTATAAGGTGTGACAAAATTTCTTTTTTTTTTTTTTTTTTTAATATTTTTTTTTTTTTTTTTTTTTTTAAAATTCTGATTGTATTTAACAATCTGCCTAATACTAATACATAATATCAGGGTCAGCATTACAACAGTTGAGTATCCAAATTCGATAAGGTATGTATTGACAGATAAGAAATCGGTTTCAAAAAAAGGAAGAAGAAAATAATCAAAGTTTACATCCCTGAGCCGAGTCAAAGCATATCTTTGGGACAGTCCTAATTTTTAACTTTGCTTTTGATTAATTCCCTGCCAGAGGGCATTCAATGCACTGTGTCACTCGACCCATCTTTACGGCCGTCGGTTGGTGCTGGAATGGGCTGAAGTTGAGGAGAGTTTGGAAGACCTACGCAGGAAGACAGCCCAGCACTTTAGTGATGGTAGGTTCTAATATTAATCTCCCACCATTTCAGGGATGGTATGTTTAAATTTTAATGCCCCTCAATTTCTGTGATTTGTGATGGTAGGTTAAAATTTCAATTTCCCATCATTTCAATGGTGGTAGGTTTAAATTTCAATTCCCCATCATTTCTGTGATGGTAGGTTTAAATTTCAAGTTTAAAGTCCCCATCATTTCAGTTATGGTAGATTTTAATTTCTCATCATTTCAGTGATGCTAGCTTTAAGCATTGATGCCCCATCATAGTTTTTAATTAACATTTCTCTATTATCAAGCCAGGCTAAGCAAATAATTGTTGCTCAAATATAATCTGTCTACTTGTCATTCATGTTGTGTCATTAAACCTTGAATCTTGACTCTAATTCTGAAATGCAATGTAAAATAAATATTATTGTGATGTATATTTTGGATTTTCTCACATTACCAAATCCAAATTACCATGTATCTCTCATTTACTATGTGAGATCCATTAATCAGTCTTTACAACTTATCATCCGTAAGTCTTGTCAAAATAATGCCAACAAAGAATATTGTTTCATTTCATGGGAGGATATTCTTGACTTAGTTTTCACATACAGCAGGGGTTATGTTGACAACGCGTTTCATTAACTTTTCTCATCATTTTGTCACAGATGGTCCCAGGAAGAAGGTGTCAAAAATGAGCTTGATGAATGAGTTGGACAGCTGAGACCATGAATAAAATTGAAATACTCCTGCATCATATTGTTTGTTTTTTGTTTTTTTAAATCAGATGGCACTTTGTTCTCCAGTGTGTTAATTAATTTTTTGTCTAGGTCAGTTTGCTAAGCTTACTAATTGATGGTGGAGATTTAGTTAGCAAATACTTTTCAGAACTGGGATGTGTTATCTAGGTCAAATATTTTAAGTTCAGACATATTCCAGAACATGGACAACAAACTGGGCTGGTGGCATTGTACAATTACCATTAAGTAAGGCATAGTGCAATTACTATTAACTTAAGATTAACTATTTGATGCACCCGCCACCGTCTCGGTCAACAGCTGACTGGAAGCTACAATTTAAAATTGATGCTGACCACTAAGATCTAGTATATCAAACTGACTTTCTTTCCTAGCAACAAATTCTGGTTGCACTCAGTGGATCATGGTGGTCAGAGAAAGAATGTGTGGCAGTGTCGTAACATGTCACTTCAAAGGGCTTGAAATTAATTGTATGCTTGTTGGTTGGCTTTGTTGTATCATCAATAGATGGCATTGAATCAATATATCAGGTTTTAAATAAGTGCCTTCAGGGTTGGGGGAGGGGGGGGGGCGGTGGTTGCTGAGGTAAACATTTGCAGCGGCAGAGCTAGAAACAAAGCAGCAGAGAAAACTTTATGACAACAGAAGATTGAAAACACCACAAGTATGGTGGCAGAGAAGTGAATACACCACAAGTATGGTGGCAGGGAAGTGAATACACCACAAGTATGGTGGCAGAGAAGTGAATACACCACAAGTATGGTGGCACAGAAGTGAATACACCACAAGTATGGTGGCAGAGAAGTGAATACACCACAGTATAGTATGGTGGCAGAGAAGTGAATACACCACAGTATAGTATGGTGGCAGGGAAGTGAATACACCACAGTATAGTATGGTGGCAGAGAAGTGAATACACCACAGTATAGTATGGTGGCAGAGAAGTGAATACACCACAGTATAGTATGGTGGCAGAGAAGTGAATACACCACAGTATAGTATGGTGGCAGAGAAGTGAATACACCACAGTATGGTATGGTGGCAGAGAAGTGAATACACCACAGTATAGTATGGTGGCAAAGAAGTGAATACACCACAAGTATGGCGACAGAGAAGTGAATACACCACAAGTATTGCGACAGAGAAGTGAATACACCACAAGTATGGTGGCAGAGAAGTGAATACACCTCAAGTATGGAGGAAGAGATTTAGAATTTTAACAGCTTCTCTGAGTTGTTTGACCATCTGATAAGTGGACCTCAAGCTATTAGAATTTGATCACTAATTGTTATCAATTTATGACTCATTTTTCTGTTACTGATAATTCAATTTCTAAAATATCAAAAACTAAAGATTTAAATATAGACCAACGAGACGACCTCATCTTGATGACGTTATCTTCTTGGGAAACCTGGAGACCTTTAAATGCAACGATGTTTATGAAAAGATTCAACTTTCTTTTTTTTTTTTTGTTAGGGGCACGTTACACATCTAAAACTGATGGGTAGAAGTAGAAGAAATTTAAACTATCAATTGTAGATTCAGGAACACATCAATATAAATAGGCATAAATAAAAAAAAAAAAAGTTTTCAAGATCTGTAATTCATCCAAATTGGCATCAGAATATTTTGTTTTTTCAAACGTAATTAGGCCTTACTGACAGAAGAGTTCTCGGTTAAAACCACAATAATATCTTACTGACAGAAGAGTTCTCAGTTAAACCCACAACAATTTATTTTAAAATGTGGTCAATTGTGCAAGAATGATTTTCCGTGTCTTTGGTTTCAATCTTAAAACGTCCTAGTTTTCATTTTCGGCGTAGAGCTTCCCTCCACTCAGACCTAACTGATGCTTTTCTTTTAAAATGAGTAAAACAGAGTAGGGTTAAACCTGAAAAAATAAACGCAACAAAATAGCGAACGTGTCGGCAGAAAGCCTTCGTCAGCGAACAAAACAACAGAAAAAACGGTATAAAAATAAGAAATAGCACTTAGCTGGTAAGTAGTATCTGTGGGCAGCAATAGAAGTGTGCTTATGACCTTTTGTTGCGTTTATTTTTTCAGGTTTAACCCTACTCTGTTTTACTCATTTTATTTTGTACTAACCTGATTGCAGTCTCTCCCCTTATTACCCCTGCTTTTCCTTTGCATGTTTGGATTCCCAGTTGCTGTAGATCTTTTTCCATAGCATCCATCCATGTAAGCATTGGTCTGCCTGTGTGAGCAGTTTTTCCACTAGGGTTTTTGGGGGTTCCTCCCCTCTTCACTCGGCATTCTAAATGTGCAGCACATCAAGTCTTTTTTTTATGCTACTAGCGTGGGATCCTGAAATAGTCCATACAATTCCTGGTTTGTATGTATTCTCGGTCCATATTCATCCTTTGTTAGTCCATATATTTTCCGAAGAACTTCCATGTTTTTAATAAGTTTTCAGCCATTTTTGTTAGGGTCCAAGTTTTACCTGCGTTTGTTAAAACTGGTCTGATTACAGTTTTATAAATAGTTTTCTTTGTTTTTCTTGTAATATTTTTTCTTTGGAATATTTTCTGACAACTGAAGTAGGCTCTGTTTCCGGCCGATATTCTTCCTTTTTTTTTTTTTTTGTTTTTTAGTAATTCATTCCTTTCATTTATTAAGGTTCTTAGATTTTTGGATTTTATTATTTTTTCAAAAGTGTGGTTTCTACTTTTATTTTTTTATTTTTTTTCTTTTTTTTTCTTTTTATATTTTTTCTTTTGTTTATTTTCTTTTTATTTTTGTTGGCTCTTTTTTCGTCCTTTATTTTTTCTTTTTTTTTTTTTTGTTTGTTAGTAATTCATTCCTTTCAGTTATTAAGGATCTTAGATCTTTGGATTTTATTACTTTTTCAAAAGTGTGGTTTCTACTTTTACTGATTTCATCTGTCTGTTCTCTTAACATAGTTCTTAGTTAAGTGTTTTGATTTTTGGTTGTTAACTTCCAGCCCTGCTTGTAGAGATGCGTCTTCTAATTCAATAAAAACTTTTGCTATATCTTTAACTATTTTCCCTTAGCAGTGCTATGTCGTCAGCATATGCAAGATACTTAAGGAGTTGTTTGTAGAGGGTGCCTAATTGGTTGTGGGTCTTAGGTTTTCTTCTTAAAGTATCCTGTTATTTGCGTTACTCCCGTTGTGTTGGGAGTCCCGCAAGTGGCCGGGGTTTTTGGCTTCGGTAATAAATACTTCGAACAATCGACGCTTCACTGTGGTTGCCGATCAGGGTTTCTTTCAGCTATACATGCCCCCCCCCCGAAATGTTAAGTGCCCGGGGGGGGAGAGGGGGGATTTCTGAAAGAAAAAATGTTGCCGACGAATGGACTTAAAAGACACACCGAGGGCTCATGACATTTAAAACATGACGACTGAGACAACATAAAAAAAATGGCATCATTTTATGTATAAAACATATTGGCTGAAATATCATTCATGATCCTTTAGATCTTACATGCATATGGACAATCAAATTCCATCACGAATTAAAATAAAAATAGAACTTCAATGACAACACCACGCGTGTTGTTTTCCCCGATTTCTGCTGCAAATGGCATGTTCATCGACACACGACTAAACTCACGGTGTCACTTCGTAACTCGGTTTTTTTTTGTTGTTTTTTTGTTCGTAAATCTATTGCAAGACACTGAGTGAATGGAAGGTTATCAAGAGTGAAAGTGGACTACTTTTTTAAAAATTTATTTAATTAAGTAATTTATTTTTTAAAGAGCGATCATAATTTATTGAAGGCATTCAATGCTGGAACGTTAGAGATCTTTTTTAATGTGTGGAGTAGAACAGAAATGGAGAACAGATCATTTAAATAAATAATGATAGAATTCGTCAATAAATAGATTTCCTTTATTTAGAACTTACTGCTGGTGGTATATATGTAAAAAGGGTGGAACTTCATGTATCATCAAGGTTAAGATTGCTAAATTTGTTTAAGTATACCAAAGATCATCTACGCAGCTCGAAGCTGTCAAATATCCCCCCCCCCAACCCCAAACCTCCCAGCAAATTTTTTAAAAAATTAGAAAAGCGGAGAACCCCTGGGAGGGACAGACACCCTCATCACGATCCAATGATCGATTGACATCAGCGTACAAGGCCAAACTTAACCAAACTCTTGTGTTGACATTCCGTTACAAAACTCGGCTTCCCAGAACACGGCGTAGAATTTAAATGTCTAAACGGATTTTCTGCCGCCTTCAGGAACAATGATCCTCGAAATGTATAAGGTAGGCCTTATCCTCAAATGTATAATGGTGTCCTTATATTTATTATGTTGCCTGCGTAATAATGCAACTGAGCAGTTGGAGCATGAAAACATGACAATAGACCAATATCAACTATCAACTAACCGAAAGCTTCGAAAGATAATGTGCATAGACACATAAAATAGTGTACACAGACACATAACATAGTCTGCATGGCATATAAGCTAGTGCACATAGACATATAACATACTGTGCATATATAGAAACATGTGCATAGACACAAAAGATAGTGTGCATAGACAAATTGATTTATTTAACTCTCGGAACATGACAATGGTTAATCCCCCCCCCCCCAAACCTAATAAAATTTTAAAAAATCAATAATAAATAACCGAAAAGCTTTTCCGAAATGGTAAAACTTATTATGTCAACGTGTTACAGTTGGATTTAAGCTAGTGCACATAGACATATAACATACTGTGCATATATAGAAACATGTGCATAGACAAAAAAGATAGTGTGCATAGACAAATTGATTTATTTAACTCTCGGAACATGACAATGGTTAATCCCCCCCCCCCCCAAACCTAATAAAATTTTAAAAAATCAATAATAAATAACCGAAAAGCTTTTCCGAAATGGTAAAACTTATTATGTCAACGTGTTACAGTTGGATTGTCAATTCCGAACCAGATGCAATTTCCATTAATCCCCTGTGGAGACCAGACCAATCTATACACAACTATCCATTAGTAATAGTACGCGCCC